CAAAGCGAAATCATATTGGCCGCTTTTTTGCGCCATTTTACCTGTAGATATCCAAAGCGAAATCATATTGGCCGCTGGATTCCTCCGTTCACGTTGAGGCGGTAGTTCTTGAGCTCGTATGAGCGTAGTCCCACCCGTCCAGTTCGGTTGTAAGTACAGGTGAATGGGATGTACACATCAGAAACACGGGTTACGACACCATACTCTCGCTCGGTCACTGGGTGCTGTAAAACTCGAAAGTGGCATCTTCCTGTAAGTTTTAATGAGAGTGAGAGAGAGAGAGAGAGAGAGAGAGAGAAAATATATATATAGAGAGAGAGAAATAGAGAGAGAAAGAGAGAGAGAGAGAAAGAGAGAGAAAGAGAGAGAAAAGAGAAAGAGAGAGAGAGAGAAAAAAAAGAGAAAGAGAGAGAAGAGAGAAGAGAGAGAGAGAAAAGAGAGAAGAGAGAGAAGAGAGAGAGAGAGAGAGAGAGAAAAAAAAGAGAGATCTGTAATAATTTTCACATTGGGATCTTTCAGTAAGTTTAAAAAATATGAGAAAGAATAAGATTAAGAGTATAGACGTATATTTAATTCTATCTAGATTGATAAAGAATGAATTTATTATCTTTCACATGAATGTCTACAGTATTGCTGTAATACTCGAAACTGGAATCTTTCTGTAAGTTTTAAAGAGTCAGAAGAGAGAGAAAGAGAGAGAGACCTGTAATTATTCTCAAAACTGGAACCTTTCCCTGAGTTTTAGATATAGAAGGAAGAAAAAGAATAAAAGTATATTTATAATAGTGATGATAATCCGTTCTTGTATACCGCATAACACATTATGTTATAAAGTCTCTATGCGTTTCCAAAGAGCTTTGGACATTTTTATGTTAATTATGTTTCTAGATTATTAATGAACTAATGAATCTGTCATCTTTCACATGAATGTGAATGTTTACATATTGCCATGCAACTCGACAACAGTATTGCTGAAATACTCGAAGATGGAATCTTCCGGTAGTTTTACCCCCCCCCCCCCCCCCCCCCCCCCCCAAAAAAATACAAACTAGAAATGCATGTTTGTACAGATTGTTTCTATATATATAGATAGCTTAGACAGATAACGATATGTGATTGGTCCAGAGCTCGTCACGTGATATCAATTGCGAGGGTCGTAATTGTTATATTTTCCTGGCTGGTCACTTCCAGTGTTATATTAGCCACCTGGTGAAATGAATATATTTTTAATCAATGCATGTCGCCCTCTTGAGGGCTGTATGTCACCAATTACACAAATTACACCAATACCGAGGGTCAATGTTTTTCCCCATAGTCTTAATTTGTTTCCAAATTTGTTCCCCCCCCCCATTTTTTTCTTTCTAAGATTTGTTTTTAAAATTGTTTTTTCCTCCCAATAGGCCTAATGCTTTTTTCTAAGAATTTTATTTTTCCAATTGTTTTTTCCGTTGAAATTATTTTTTCCCTAATTATCTCGTAGTATTTTTGTTTCTCACCATTTTTTTTGCAAATTTTGTTGTCTCCGAAAAAAAAAGGGAATTTTTCAAAAATAAAAAATGAAAAAATAGACCCCCCCCCCCCTTAAATTTTTAACCAAGGCTATCTGATATATGCGCGCTTCTGGAAAATATGGTCATGAGGGAAAATATAACTCCCTTCAGCGGTCCAAAGAATGCTATATTACACCCCCTGCCAATCAATATCTGTATAATATAAATGGATTTTGTCATCCTCCGCACCATGTAACCAATAGAAAAGAACTGATTGTCCTTCAGTTTGATAACGGTGTTTAATATATTCAATTTCAGAACACTGTGAACAAACAGACATCACACACCTAAATCTACAAAAGTTTATTAAAGGTTATAACAAGTTTTGGTATGGGTCATGAAATTGGTTCGAATAAAAATATTGGAAGCATATGCTATCCTATAAAAGTCAATGTTCGTTTTCGCGGTTGAAATCGAGTCTAAAGTTATGAAATATAAATAATAAACCCTTTATGCTGTATAGCTCCCTCTCAAGGTCAAGATATTAATTAAGCCATAAAACAACGTTTCTTGACTTAAATGGACCAATTGGCTTTTTCCGTTTGGGAAATATATATCACAACTACATATTCTGAGATTTTCATGGTCGCAGCTATTGTTGTATGGCCGTAAGCGCTATTTGAACATTTTCAAATTTACCGGGAGCACCGGTAAATTTTTATAGTCAATTTTACTCAAAAGCAGAAGTGTTTGAGGGGCTAAATTTTCTAGTGCTTATAATACATCCACAGGGGCATCCAATACATCAAAATTGTACAGAATCACTATCCAGCCAATTTTCAAAATTTCCCAAAACTTTGTATTACCTTTAACTGCATTGTCACAGTGTGATAATTATCTACAGTTTGTCACAGTGTGTCACGAGCTAGACCGCGACCACAGTGAGATTACAGTACTAAATTAAGTGTTAAAACAGTGTAAACACAGGATGAAAAGAGTATTCAGTTTTTAAAACAAATGTGAACACAGTGTGAATAGAGTGTTCAGATTAAAAAACAATGTGAGCACGGTATGGACAAAGGATTCGCTGTGAACAAAGTCAATGTGAACACCACGTAAAGTGTGTTTACAGTGTAAAACAGTGGGAACACAGTATGAAGAAACTGTCCACAGCATAAAAACAGTGTAAATGCAACTATAAACAGAGTGTTCACAGTGTACACAATTCTTCCGGTATTGAAGACAAAGTAGATAAGTACAGCTGTATACATAAAGGTGGGTAATGTGAGCACACTATGAAATTCTTTCTTTCTTTTTTCCAACTTACACTCCTATCATTGTTACATGACGTCAGATTGGTGGAGATAACAATGGCCATTCCATCTGTGGAGATAACCCCCTGGCAATTTTCATCGTTCATGAGCTGGAGGTCGGTCCCGACGGTCGCACCGCCGAGACGCTCCAGAGGAACTCGCACTGACATGCTGGTGGGCGAGCATTCGAGGATGATAGCAGCAACTACAGGGGGTGTGAACAAATAATAAGTAATTGCCAGTGGTATTACTTTGAAGGGCGTCAACATACTTTAAAGTCAAGACGTCACATGCAATACGTATATTCCAATTTCAATGATATATGAGAAAGGGCATAATTTTCTTTCAAAACATTACAACAACAAGAGCAATGCTTTTAACTTACTACAAATAAAGCTTTAGATTTGGGGTAGGGGTAATTGTACGTGTGCCCCACCTCCTCAAATCTCACACACATCTAGATCAGTCCCCTCTAAACTCGTACTGATTGCAGGGCTTCCAGGGAGAACAGAGGGACGTTTAAAAAAACTTGTCATCAGTGACAAATGACAGTTTTTGTTATAAGCTCCTGAAATCCTTGCTTCTGATTGGTTATCAACAGATTTGTCACTCAATTTTGTCATTTGTCATTGAAAAAAGGCTTTGTGAAACGGGTCCTTGGCTGTTTTGGGGTAGTTCAAAGGCACATTATTTTGTGGAAATTCGGGTGGCCAGGGTATTTATGAATAGTATACGAAATTATTTGAAACATGCCATTAAAGGTCACTGGAAGGTCAGTGTCCAAGGCTACCCTGGGCATGCTGGGTAAACAAACATAATAATATATATATATATATATATATTTTTTTGTTTTTAAATACTATAATAAGTATTGTTGTTGTAATATTATTATTATTTTTATTAGTAGTAGTATAGTAGTATCATTAGGTGGTCTGTCGTTCGACAGATCACCTATTGTTTTCGTCAGAATTTTCTTTATTATTATTTATTCTTTATTAGGTGGTCTGTTGTCAACAGACCACCTATTGATTTCGTCAGAATTTTCTTTATTATTATTATTATTTATTCTTTATTTTTATTTATTTCTTCCCGTTTTTTGTTTATCGGTTAACTCAAGATCGGTTGTGTTAATTTCTTTCAATTTCAAGACAGTAATAGGTCATTGTCATGAGACGTGACAGGAACATTTTCAAGGTCATCAGGTTATCGTGACGTCATCCAGGCGCCATTTCGTGAAATCACGTTATCCATCATATCTTTATGATGCATAAGCAAAGGTCATTCATATTCATATCACATATACTTAAGGTCAAGGGTCAACAGGTCATGTCATCAAAGGTCACATAAAGGTCATGACGCGCGCGTACGCGTGCGTCAAAATTTTAGAATGGTCAAAATCACCTAACTATTAAAGGAGAGTACGAATCAGGTCATTTTAAGCATTTCAAAATTTTCCGTCCGTAAGTGTCCCCGCGCGCGTTGCGCGCGCTCAAAGCGCGTGGAAAAGGTCAAATTCAAATTTTTTACATGATTTAGATTCCTCTTACCGTTAATGACAATTTACATTAATTTTAGTCACCCTTGACCTTTCATAAGGCCGTGAGCGCGCGTCAAAGATCAAAATCCGCGCGTGCTGCTATGGGCAATATAATGCAAATTTGATCAAAAACATGCCAATTTAAAAATCAAAATAGCTCTTCAGATAGTCCATTCACCCCAACTTTTATATCATGGTTAGAAAAAGCATGAGTTGGAGATATGATTTCATGTCTCATTTGACCCTCAATTAACTCATGACGTCATCATAATGGCCTCCGAACTCATAATTTTAATTTGCATATTATGACGTCAGCATATTTTTGGAAAATTGATTGTATCTCTGTAAATATTGATCAATTTTCTTTCAAATTTTGATATGTTCTACCTGAGAATATTCTCTACAAATACAGTCACCACAAAATTTCATTTTGACAAAGGTATCATGGCGTTTTTTGCGATTAAAGGAGGCATGTCAAATTTTCACATTTTGCGTGTATTCTCTATGGGACATGACTTTTTCTCAATCTGGTTTCTACATTCTCGTCTTTCGCGAGCAATATCTCCGTCGTTTTATCTTTGTTTACGCTGAGCTTTGAGTATGTTGTAGCTGAGAAAATAAGCTATCATAAGTGTGCCCTTTATTTTTCGATCAGATGCCGGGATCATGCTCATATTTCACTTACAAAGTGGGATTTGATAATTCCATTTTCCGTTTACGTGTAATCTCTATGGGAAATGTTTTGGTATATCGGTAACGCACTTGACTTCCGACCTCGAGGTCCCTGGTTCGAGTCCGGGCGTCTCCAACAATTTTTTTTCTTCACTTTTTTTTCTTTTTGACCTTTCACTGTACCATCTCCTTTGAATATTAAAACACGTAGAATCGCAAATAATGTAATAAACAACCATATTTACTTTATTATTACCCTATTATCACTAGATCCATTACTTTTGACGTGTAATCCTTTTGGGAGATGACTTTTTCTCAAATCTGGATTCTACATTCTTGTCTTTTGCGAGCAATATCGCCGTTATTTCGGCTTGGTTTTTGTCGATTTTTGAGTATGTTGTAGCTGAGACTATACGCTATCTAAATCTTCTCTAATTTTGTTCAGTCTGATGTCATCGTGGTCTGTTGATGATAATCATCAACATCATCATCATCATCGTCATCACCATTACTATCAAGATCATCATCATCATGATCATCATGATGATCATCATTGTTTACATGTCTATATAACTTCTCCCTTTCTCAATATAGTAAATATTATAATCTCTCATAAGACTTGAAGACAGACCACCTAATTCGTCCCCATGACGAATTAAATTTCTAGTTTTTATTTATTTCTTCCCGTTTTTTGTTTATCGGTTAACTCAAGATCAGTTGTGTTAATTTCTTTCAATTTTAACACAGTAATAGGTCATTGTCATGAGACGTGACAGGAACATTTTCAAGGTCATCAGGTTATCGTGACGTCATCCAGGCGCCATTTTGTGTAATCACATTATCCATCATATCTTCATGATGCGTACTCAAAGTTCATTCATATTCATATCACATATATTTCAGGTCAAGGGTCAACAGGTCATGTCATCAAAGGTCACATAAAGGTCATGACGCGCGCGTATGTGCGCGTCAAAATTTAAAATTGCTCAAAATCACTTAACTACTAAAGGAGAGTACGAATCAGGTCATTTTAAGCATTTCAAAATTTTCCGTCCGTACTTGTCCCCGCGCGCGGTGCGCGCGCTCACAACGCGCGGAAAAGGTCAAATTCAATTTGTTTACATGATTTGGATTCCTCTTACCGTAAATGACAATTTACATTAATTTCAGTCACTCTTGACCTTTCATAAGGCCGTGAGCGCGCGTCAAAGTTCAAATTCCGCGCGTGCTGCTATGGGCAATATAATGTAAATTTGATCAAAAACATGCTACTTTATAAATCGAAATAGCTCTTCAGATAGTCCGTCGACCCCCAATTTTTATATCATAGTTGGAAAGAACATGAGTTGGAGATATGATTTCATACCCCCCTGACTCGTACAAAGTGAAACAAAATCTTCATATTTGCATCTAAACTAAAGAAAATGTATTTTGTTGATGACGTCAGATTTCGATATGTTGTAGCTGAGATAATTCTCTATCAGAAATATGACATTTATTGTTCATTTAGATGACGTCATCATACTGAAATATTCGATTAAATGCGACAATGCATAATTTGTCATATTTGCGTGTTATGTCTATGGGAGGTCACTTTTTTCAAAACATGAATCTGCATGACAATGTGTTTTGACCAGTATCTCGGTTGTTATTCAACAGTTTTCTCCCAAATTTTAGTATGTTGTAGCTGAGACTATTTGCTATCTAAATATTTTCCTCATTTTTTCAATCAGATGTCAGGATCATGCTCATACTCATCATCGTCATCATCATCAATATCATCATCATCATCATCATCATCAATGTCACCATCATCATCATCATCATGGTCTGAAGATGATTATCATTGTTTACATGTCATATATAATTTCTCCCATTCTCAAATCTATCATGAGACTTAGACAGACCACCTTATTCGTCTTCGTGACGAATTAAATTTCTAGTTATTATTATTAATATCATAATTTTTGTTCATTATAACTTTTATCATTATCATCATTACATTTACTGTTCTTATCATTCTCCTTCTTCTAATAATAATCATTATAATCATAGTTATTATCAAATATGCCATATCATTATAATCGTTTATATATTATTATCAATCTTGTCAGTGTTGATATTATAACTATTGCGATTATTATTGCTATTATTATCATTATGCCTATTAGACTCATTATTATTATAATTATTATCATTATTTTTGTTGCTGTTGTTGTTGGCGACTTGTTGATCATGTTTATTCAATATAATTTGAAGTGTTATTTTAAAATGCACTAAACTATAATGATGTTGATTTTTTTCATATGAGTTGTATGTACATTTGTTGAATGTTTATTTAACATTTATTTGCTACACCTGTGAATGATGGAAATTATCTATATAAAAAAAAAAAAAAAAAAAGTTATCATTATTACTGAAAATCCTCCAAACCTGTTTTGACTGTCACGGGTCCAATAGGGGACAGCTCATAATCCTGACTGAGGAGAGCTGCCACGTTCACGTTGTACATGCGGTCTGGCAATAAATTATCGATGGAGGCGCTGTTTGCATTACCTCCGTATACGAGTTCTAAAGGAATGGATAAATAAAATTAATTGAGTAACTGATTGAATTAGTTAGAAATTAACCAACGAACAACCAACTCCCTGTAACAAAGAACAAACAAGAAATAGGTCTAATCGAACGCCGTTAATGTCCGTATTCATTAATTAAGTAAATTACGATTTGTTATGGTAATTGTGAAGGTTAACGTACTAATCCCTTAGCGTTGGCGTCAAAGTGCCCTAGCCCTGCCTCCGACAAAATCCAATCTGTCATACGTACCTTAAGAATATACAAAAGACGAATGTGCCCAACCATTAATTTGGGGTTCCACATATGGGGCCTGCAAAATATTGCTTAATTATTAAACATTCGCCACTCTTGAATTTTGTCAATTTCCAGAACACTTTAAAATTTAAAATTAAAGAGAAGGTAAAGTTCCGGGGAGAGGTGAACAATAATTTGTGAGCGTTATGATTGTTGTTAATATGCAAGTGTGAAAGATCATCAGATATACAATTTTCCCTGAAAAGCATGGCTCTTCAAATACCTTCATATTCTAAATATGACAAGAAACAGCTTATACATGAGGCCCCATTTTTATGCCACATGATTGAGTCCCATATACATCTTTTTGTGTACAGTGCGTGTTACTTTGCAAGACAGGGCCAGATTTCTTATCATATTAATGACTCCAAAACTTTGCAGTACACACCAATACTTATATGATACATGATCAACTTGTTCTGATCGCCTCCACACCGTTTCTTTCACAATGCAATCGCATGGCCAGACTCAACTTTAATTCGAATTTTGGATAACTTAACAGTCTAATATTCATCTGAACAGATCTGTTATGCAACATGTTTTAAATGCCTACTTGATGTTACGAAATAGAAAACAATATCGACACCTCATGTGAAAGATTTTTTTATTTACTTCGATATTACATCTTCACGTATTTTCCCTGTTTCATCAAACTTGTTATCAATAACAATTGCTTACATTTCTATGACAAACTTGCTCTCAGCCAATGAAATGCCACGATTTCAGTAGCTTATCACAGTTATTGAAACTTGCTATGGATAACAAGTTTCATGAAACAGGGTCAATGTTCCCTTTTCTGTTGTTTTCTCTATTTTCCTGGTCTAAAACTAGTCCAGGGGTGTTTCACAAAGACTAAGATCGACTTTAAGTTGGACTTAACTATGACAGGCCTTTCATGCCACTGGTCGCTGTCACCAACGGTCTCTCAATTATGATATTTAGATAATATATTTTCTTTCAATAATGAACTATCATAAAAGGTAAATTCTGTAGATTTGTGACCACGATTCGCACGCCCCTTGAGAGACCAATGCCAGGAATGGTTAGAGGAACTAGTGGCATGAACGTCCTGCCATAGTAAAGTCCAACTTAAAGTCGATCTTAGTCTTTGTGAAACACTCCTGAGGTATACAATGCCCCGGTAATATAACTTGTGAAATCACTGATTAACGAGATTTTATTTTTATTTATGGACCAGTGATGGGAAGATGGACTTTGGTTTTTAGGTAGAATCAACATTATCAACTGTAAACAGATAAGCAATTAACAAATAATTGATTAGCGGCTCGATTGACTTTGTCCTAAATCAGGGCAGGCGATAACAAAACAGGATCCTGCTAAAGTTACTAGACCTTTTATTCAAAGAAAGGCAGAACCAAATTGACAATTGACTTTGGTTTAACCTCAATGTAATTTTTTTACAAAGTCAATGCTTTTTTTTTCATCAGCGGGGCTAAACTGTCCGAAGGTTCATATAAATAATGACAATCTTAGTAGACACCGCCATTTTTCTACTCCCGAAAACCCCCATCTTTCTCTTTCTCTTTCTCACATTTCTTTTCCCTTTTTTCATTCCCTCTGTCGTCACCTTTCTCCCTCGTGTTATCGATTTGTACTGTTTCTTTATTCTGTTTGCGTATCTTTGTTTGTTTTTTATAATTAGAATTTCATTTCAAATTTAAAATATTTGAAACAAAAATCAAAATGCATTTAAATCACACTTGGTACTAATAGGGTAATAAAATCAAATTTTCTGTTTTGGAAAAAAAAGAAGAGTACTTTCATCAATTTTGTTTTGTTTTCGACTATGTGATAACAAATATCTCAAAGAGAACACAAATTTATAAGTTGGGCCAGGCAAATGATTACTTTTCGGTAGATTTTCCAATATATAAAACTCGAAACTCTAATTTTTCGTTTTTCGACCGTGGTCACCTGATACTTACCGGAACTGACGTCAGCGTTGTCTTCATCAGCCAGCCAATACTGAACTCTGTAACCGACTACGTCACAGCTTGTCTCTGATTGTGTCCACGTGACCAGCATGCTTGTTTGTGTAGCGACGACGGCAAGATCACTTGGGTTAGCGTCCTGGAGTTGGAAATCTTTAAAAATAAACGGTCATGATATTATCAGGAGGGTGTTTCACAAAGATCCTAAGTTGAACTTAACTCTAAGTTGGACTTAACAATTATGGAAAGCCGTTAGCATCTATGAAAATATTTTGTAAAAGTTATTTTAAAAGGCATAACATGTTGATTGAAAACATTCATATTTTGCGGAATTTATATTGGAAAGAAGAAGATAAAAGAAGAAAAAAGAAGGAGAAAAAGAAGGAAAAAGGGATGAAGAGAGATGAGGAGGAGAGGTAGGGGGAGGGGGTTGGAAGAGGAGGAGGGGGGAATGAGGAAGTCGAAGACCCCAAAGCTGAGCTCGCATTGGAATCTCTTATGTCAAATATATGCATATTAATGAGCAGTAATAAGTACGTAAAAAGATCATAATATCATTTGTCTCTTCCGGCTCGAATTATACATATTACAAGCGAAACAACTTTGAAATCAGCATGAATTGAACATAAAAACACCATACCTTTTGGAGATATTTCGCATATGTAACTTAGTGCTTTGTCACAAACGAGAGATACAAGATCACCGGTGGGTTGGAGAGCCGCGCAGTCCAGACGACCGTTGCCAGGGGAACCGGCCTCCCAGAGATCGTTCTGCCAATCGGTCGATTCTGTGCAATCGACCCAGCGCCATTCGCCCTCTACGGACTGATCCGAATAGCCTGTATTAAAAAGACGATTTGAAACAAAGAGGTGCGATTTCTGCTTAACTATTACCCAGTTGTCCAAAGTGTAATGCTTTATACATTGACAAGACAGTATAATACAACTACGAGACTACTGAGTAATGCTACTCATTGCGGATATAGTATCTTTTGATCCCTTGTTGACTAAAATTGCGAGACAAACGAATGTCACTTGCGATATTATTTTCGATAATGGTAATATTTCTCTTTTACACATTATTTGGGTTTGTTCGCTTTGCATAATTTTCACTGCACTCACGCGGTGACCAGATGGATGGGCAAATAATGTGAATGAACCTGTTAGTAACAAATACAGTTTTGAGACAATAACGTGTAAAGTTACACTATTCTTAAACCTTTGGCAATTTTGCACATCTTACCCCCCCCCCCCCTAAAAAAATTAAAAAAAATAAATAAAAAAATCTTACAACTTGAGGACGGCCGGTTTCAAATTTACGGCAAACATTTGAAATTTATGAAATCATATCACCGTAAGCGGCCTGCAGCATTACTATGCACCATTCATTTTACATGTGCATAATGTACAGTAATCATTATTCTCGTGCCCCGCGTCAAATCAGTCGTTGACGCCGGGCTGACGCAGCCTTGTGCCATACAATTGGCGCAATCATGCGTCAGTCCAATGACGCATCGTGCACAACGGGCATTACAAGCCATCTTAACTTACCGACCCACCACGTCATGTTGGGGTTGATCTCCGCCGACCTCATTGTTAGGAAATCAAGTTCAGCCTGGTCATTGACGATGACGAGATCGGAGTCGGCCACGTTGTCGCATGTTCGTCTTCCGGTCGACCACCAGGAGCCGAGGTCGAGGTCTCTGAAGCGGTAGCAATGGCCGTTGGGACCAAGCTCGTAGTTGTCGGGACAAGTGGCTAGTGTGAGTTGAAGAATGAAATGCAGTTATAAAGATGTGCCACTTTCAAAAGATCCAATAAACCATACTTCTCCCCTCAATAGTATAATGTATATATTTCTTGTCATATTTTGTAATTTTGTTAGCGCTAAGGCACTTTTGTATCAGCGCAAAGAAAAACAAAATCGATATCATTGATAAAATGTTTACACATGTCCTGTCGGATAGGTTCCCTTGGCAGATTTGGTCCTGTCACCAAACCTGCTTAGGGAACCGTTTCTGCCTTGACATCAGTGTAACCCAATCGTGATAATTTGGAAAACCAGACTCCCCTTACCCCTTTAAAACCCAATGGACATATTTTCAGAAGGGCGCTGATCCTGTGTTAGATATTTTCAAACATACCAGTTATATCAACCTTCTTTTCTTCAAATTAATAAAATGTCCAGAGAGACGTGGTGGATGACTTTTTAATGCTTCTCAGATATTTACTTAGAAGAACTAAATTACCTTATTCTTTACTTGCTTATCAGCAAATTTTGAATTTTAGGAAGGTTGTGCACTACCTTTTTTACAAACCCTAGATCCGCCCGGTTATGCCTCAGTAACATCTTTGCGTATTGGCTTGCGTATTGCTGCATATTTATGGCAAGCCGTTTTAACATTTATTCCTATTTTCTTTATATCAAGAAATCGAATTCCTAATATCAAAATTTCAATTCTTGATATCAAGAATTACCACTGCTTTACAATAAAAAAAAAAAAAAAAAAAAAAAAAAAAAAAAAAAAAAAAAAAAAAAAAAAAAAAAAAAATCAGTTTTTGATATCAAGAAATAGTAATGAATGTTAGAACGGCTTGCCATAAATAAGCGGCAATACGCAAACCAAATACACGAAGGTGTGACTGAAGCACTAGAAACAACCAGATCAAAACTGGCATGACTTACTTGTACCAAGCACAGACAGAGCGGTGCTGAATCCGTAGCACCCATAGCTGACCGTGCAGGTCGTCAGTTCAAACAGGTAGGTAGTAGCGGGAGAGAGACCGCTAATAACGACGTCAGTGTTAAGCGCCCCTACGAGATCGATTGCGATAAAATCGCCTTCGGCTGTGGTATTGTAACGGATCTATTTAAAAGGATTAAAATACAAGTAATATCTCTTTTTTAGGGGTTGTGTGTGTGCATGCGTATGTTCGTGAGGGTGTGTGTGTGTGCGCGCGTGTGAAGTACCCTGACCATGGACTAATATGAGAATACACACCTTTAAAGGTGCTATGTCCCTTTTGCAGCCAACCTCAAATTCTGTAGAACTTTGCAGGAATTATGAATATGTCACGTATGTCCTATCTGTGAAATTTAAACGTTAACATTGTCCTCATATTCAAATTATGCAAGGAAACCCGTTTACTTGCTAGACTTCACTGTCAGACACTATTGAGTGACTGACTGGCTTTTTATCTTCTTGGGTAATAACATACATGCAAAGAGTTGTAAAGGGTACATGAGCATTTATCTACATCAATAACCCACTTCTTGTGATGGCCAAGATTAAACTGATTGAATCTTTGTGCAGCATAAAACGTACGACCATTCGGTACAATTGTCTGAAAATAAAGACTATTACTTTTGGGCTCTATAGCCCTAAAGTCGATTTGACAACTAATAGTCGTTATTTTCCCACATAAAGACATTTTCAAGCCCCACCTTTTTTTAGGGAAGTTCTAAGTTAGTATTATCTTTCAAATGCAGTTGGAATTTAACTTTTTCATTTTTTTGGCCTGCAAATGGGACATAGTATCTTTAAACCGTGGACACATATCAACCGAGGACGTCCACGGTTGTTTTTAGACGTAATGTGGTGTGTGTGTGTGTGTGTGTGTGTGTGTATGAAAACTTATACATGGCTTCAAGCAGGGACGTGATAGAGAAGGACTGGAATCAAGCCGCTCTCCTTTGACCCCATGCTCCAAGCCGCCGAAAAGTTATGCGCTAATCTTCAACTGTTGGTGGTGAGATAAGAGAGCGCATGACATTTCAGGATTTAGAATTCCTACATCAGAAAATGGTATCACAGCAACTGTTCGCTGTCCCTTCCAATGATTTCTCATCCATTGTTGAATGTGTAAAGAGTAGAACAAGCGAACACAAACTTGTGTAATTTCATCCTTTTTTAAACTTGAAAAATACAAAAAAACACGCGAAAACACGCATTAGCAAACTTAATGTTGTTGAAGATTGTAAATCATGGATCAAATAACGGGACATTAAAGCATGCACAAATTAGCGCATCATCCTAAAATATTGAGTTTTTGACAAGATGTAATTTTTCTTTTACCAACTCTGGCACACAAATGAAAGGAAGGATGGAGTTCTAAATTTGAAAATTTGTTTGATGTACTATTCCCAATAAAATCCCCATATAAAGTTTTTGATTTACACTGAAATTTTGCCGGTAATTTAATATTTTGTAATACATGTAAAACTGGTGCCAGGCTTCCGAAAGTCTTCGCAGTGGAAGCGCGGTTCGGAGCATGGAACTTCAAAGCCAAGTGGAATGTTACACATCCCATTGTTATGCTTTAGAACTCAAGAATGCGTTTGAATAAATTACAAGAGTTTCGTCTCCTTTTCTTTCACCTCCCTGCTTCAAGTCACACCACAACAAATCTGTTACAAGCAAAAGCACAGCGGCGTAGCTGGGATTTTTGCATACCATACCAAAAAAATATTAACTGGTCAAAGCTTGTCTTGCATTGAAAATGGCAGTGTCCCTCGGGGGATGTGAGTTGGTGACTTGGTCTAGCGGTTCACCTACTAACAGACCCTGAGGGACCCCGGTTCGAAACTGCATGAGTCACGAGTTTCAGATGGTGGTGCATATTATAAGGTCGGCCGCCAGACGTTAATCATATCTGATTTGAAACACGTCTGTAAAAACGAAATTAAACAACCACACCCAATATCATTACGCACGCACATACACACACACACACACACACACCACCCCCCTCTCTCTCTCTCTCTCACACACACACACACACATACACGCACACACACACATAAGCACACCCATTGCAGGACTAACCGTATATCCGGCAACGTCGCATGCATATTCAGAAACGTTGAAAGACAAAGAAACTTCATCATCGTCGATGGAAATGACTTGGAAATTCGACGGGTAACAGTCGGAATCCACATAATCTGAAATGTAAAATTAAAAAAAAATTAAAAAGCTTGTTGGTTGAATCAAACTTGTTTTATCAGTAGCAGATCCAGAATTTTGTAAAAGAGGGGGAGGGAGGTTGGGGGGGGGGGGGGAAACATTATTCACAACTATTTGATGACAACTTCAGATTTTTTTTTTTTTAAGTTATCAAATTTAAAGGGAGGAGGGGAAACATTCACGAAGTTGTGTGCCAAAAGTCAGCCATTTGGGTATATATTAATATTCAACAATAATAAAAGTAATTATTATAATAATAATATGAAAAATATTGATTAGAAAAATGATAATTACAACAAAAACAATAGTATTAATGAAAAAAATAATGTGAATAATTATGATAACAATAATGTTGATAATAATAATAATTTAAAACAATTATTAAAACAAAACAGTGATAACATTATTATCATTAATAAAATATTTATCATTGGTGTTGTTGGCGTTGTTTTTGGTGTGGTTGTTGTAATCATTATCATCATTGTAATTACTATTAAACATGAACACTAATACCTTTTCGGGTGATTTCGCAGACATAACGTCTGGTATTAAAGCAGGCATCATCATTGTATTTCCCATCGGTTAGATTCATGTAGGCGCAGTGGCTGTCGTCCCGGTTATTCGGCGCACCGAACTGCCAGTTGGTGTCGGCAAAATCGGTATCCGCACCGCAATCCACCCATGTCCACACGCCGTTGATGGCGCCATCGTAATAGCCTAAAAATAGGGTGAAAAAACTCGCGAAATTAGAACGAAGATATCCACACAGTTCAGCGAGATCGAGAGTTTCATCTTGCTTGACAGCGTATCGGCAAAGACTTTTGATTTACAAATTTTAAATGTTTTTTTAAAGATAACATTTTGACCCGATCCTTACTTGTTTCCATACTTAACCCATACTTCTCTGTCTGTCTGTCTCTCTCTCTCTCTCTCTCTCTCTCTCATAAACAACACCTACACACACAGACACACATACACACACACCACCAGTGACTCTCTCTCTCTCTCTAATAACCCACACCTACACACACAGACACACACACCACCTCCCTCTCCCTCTCTCTTTCTCTCTATCTGCTTCTTTTACGAAATTATGGCAGCACAACTCACCTATCCACCAATCACTGGAATCGTTGCCCTTCATGGCATTGATCGTCTGGAGGACGTAGTCGTTCTCCGCCTGGTCATTGATCACGACAATATCACCATCGGCGACGTCAGTGCAGTCGTAGCGGGCGCTGAACCAATCGGTGGGCGTGTCCACGAACTTGTAGCAAGTATCGTTCGACGGGTTGTAACTGTATCCGGTAGGGCAATCGACTAGGTTAGGTGGAGGGAAAGTGACGTAATCGGGTAATTCCATTTCTTTTATAATAATAATAATACTCAGTTCTTTTATAGCGCATAACACATTACAGGATAGCACGTCCCTATGCGCTTCAAATAGAAAGGAAAGAATTACAAGAACAAGTCATACACAATAGAAAATCCACTTAGAAGCAAAGAAGTACATGTAGTGTTGGACGCTGAGTTCATGAGTGTACAATTTTAACATTGAATAAATATGTTTTAAGAGAAACCTTAAACTTGTTTTATTATTGTGATTTCTCATGGAATCTGGAAGTGAATTCCATAAAACTGAGGAGGCGTGCATAAAAGAACGTTCACCGTATGTTTTTGTTGAGGTGGGAGGAACAATAAATAATGATTTTGAGCTTGATCTTAAAGTTCGAGTAGGCCGATATAATGATAAAAGTTCACATAATAGGGTGCAAAACAGTCGTCAATTATATAAACCCCTCCCCCTCTCCCTCTCTCTTACCTGTTCTCTATCCCTCTCTACGTGACCATGCCAAAATCGTTCAATGTCCCTCGTCTTCTACCCCTCCCCCTCTCTCTCTACTCTCTTTCTCCCTTTCTCTATTTCTCCCCTCACTTTTTTCGTCTTCCTAATGCATTCTATCCTATTCCCCATCTTCTCCTCTCGCACTAATGTCTCTCTTTCTATCTTCTCTATATTCTTGGCAACCCGCCTCTCTCTCTCTCTCTCTCTCTCTCTCTTTCTCTCTCTTTCTTTCTCTCACTCTCTCTTTCACATAATCAACTCCTCTTTACATTTCTCTCCCGGCTTTTTCTCGGTGTCTCTTGCTTCTAACCCTCGTCTACTTGTTTCTAACACCCTCCCCTTCGAGTTTTTTTCCTTTTCTTTCTATCTCTTTCCCTCGAATGCCTACCTCTTTCACATCTAGCCCTTTGTCAACTTAAGGTTAACGAAACAGAACTTACAGAATTCTTCATAAGTCAAACTGAATCCGGAACCGGTACCAGTGCTATCCGATGTGAATCGGATATTGAGGCCATTGTACCGGCTGTTGACATCATTGGGTAATTCTGAACCAGTAATAATCTGTTTGAAGAATAAAATAATCAAGAATGGAAAAAAAAAGATTTATCAGAAGTTTTGAGGCATTACATCAATAAAACTGAAAGTTTATTTTCCAATTTTGGATCAGATCAATCTTTTCGGCTTTAGCAACACTGACGACAAAGAAAAGACATTTTTGAAAAGTTGAATTTTATGCGAGTTACACGGAAGATGACTTGTTAAAAAGGGCAAGTTATTGAGATATTTTTGTTGCGTTACATAACAGAATGACCGGCACGTCTCTTTAGCGGAACAATTACTGCCATCAAGCCTTTTTAAACCTTAAGGCCCGAATTCACAAAGGAGGTTTGTCGACAAACCTAGGTTTATGTGCGTTATATGACGCGTTTCGACGAGTTTTTACAAGGTTTGTACAAACGCGTCGAAACGCATCATGACGCACATAAACCTATGTTTGTCGACAAACCTCCTTTGCGAATTCGGGCCAAAAAGTTTCCTATTCTTATATTCTAATACTTCGAATATGTGACCTAAGAAAAATATTTGTAGGCCGAGCTATCAAAAGGAAATAACACGATCACAAACGTTGTTGACAAATAAACTGATGGGATATTGTAATGCCTTATTGGAAAAATATTCGAATAACGAAATATGGCATTGTAATGTCCGTTCATTTATTGAAAGAACAAAGTTGATTTTTTTTTTTTTTGTTGCTATTATGTTAGTTTTTTTTCAAATATATTTTTAATATTTATTTATTTTTCCACTCAAATATCCAAAATTAAAATGACATATGTAAAACCATACGATATTACAATAAATAATAGAACAAATGAATTATACAAGTAACTATATACTGATAAGTATGTACGTAATGAAATAAGTTTACATAGTACATTTAGGTTTCAGAATAAGACAAAATATTTTATATTGCTTGAATTAACTGAGAGAGGAAAGGTTATGTAGTTAGTGTTGAAGCTTACGATATACGAAGTTCCGAAGTTGTCATCGACAAGGTCGGAGCCTCCGATGATGATTTTATCGTGCCCGAATTCTAAGTCGAACTCGGTGAAATGAATACGGACTCGGAATCCCCCGCGGACTTGGATAATCCACTGGCAATCGGCGTCGTTCGGGTAGAACCCGCCGGCGAGCTGCGGGGTCGAGATGACGCCATTCAGGTCTAAACGCGTGTCAATCAGGCAGGCATCTATGAAGAAGAAAAAAAGATACAGCCATTAAATAGCCTGTTACATTATTTCGTATCCGGAAAACTATCGCCTCTACCCGGACTACCAGGCCGGACAAAAAATACCGCTACGAAAATCATCATATGGAAATTGCACCAAGACAAATACCCTTGTCTCACATGTTACAACGAAGACAATAACTACCCCCGAACAATATATGTGTACGTTATATACAATTATGAAAGAGAGTTTTGATTTCATTCCGCGATTTCAGTTCGGAGTTCGAGAAATGGTACAAAAACGCGTGAAAATAATGATCCTCCGTGCAATAAAGTATATTATATACCTCACTTAAGTAATCCAGCAATCTGATTGGTCGAAATTGCATTCATAAACTTTAACTGTTCCCGAAAATTCCCGGTAACCATGGTTAAAAAACAGTTCAAAATCCCAATAACCATGGTTATTGGGAAAATAGGTCAGTCTCCATGGTTACCCCATAGGTTTACATGTTAAAAAATGGTCTGAGCGATCGAGGATACCGTACGTGTGCGAAGAATTGATCTTACCGACAATTTTATCTTGCATTGTTGACATTAAGACGAAAATAAACTTCCAAAAACAAAAAAACAACATCTGCAGATAGATCTTGATCTAAATTCGTGCCAATATGCATTGCAAAAGTAAAAGAAGGGCCTGTTTAATGGAGCAGCCGCGAAGCTTCCACCACGCGAAGCCGTTTTCAATCCATTTTAATGTATATATATATATATAAGAAAAAAACTGCTATGTATGGTAACAGAGCGCGATAGCCGAGCGGTTTAAGGCGGCGGTTTCCGTTACATCACCTTTGGTACGCAAGAATTCGAATCCCATTTTCGACAAAAGTTTTTTTTTTGGGGGGGGGGCATATAAAAGTATTAATGACTGCTTTAATATTCGAGAAATAGTTGTTTTTATACGCTCTCGGGAAGGTTACAATTGGGCTATTGCCCTCGGCACGCCTCGGGGCAATAGCACAATTCTAACCTTCCCTTTAGCGTATAAAAACAACTATTTCTCTCAAAGCAGTCATTAATACTATACAATATAAAACAATTTTTTTCGTACGGAGGATAATTATTTCTTGCGTTTTATATGATATATATATAATAAATAGCACTTTTTCACAAAAGGTAGATTAACACTTTTGACATGTTGGAAACTACACTATAAAGGTTGAATCTAGCGTGCACAACGGATTTATCTGACATCGTGGAAAAATAGTCATTCCTCGGCTCTTTAAAATGGTGATTTATTCTAGATTTGATAGTGCTTAAAAAGTAGATAGACATTAGTAAGCATGTCACCATTTTGGCTTACCGTCATCAAGCACGAGATCGATGTCGACTTCATTGGACATCACATCCTCGGCTGAGAATACGATCCAGAGGTCGCCATTGTAGGTGGAATAGGTCTGGTTCCTGACGTCATCGGTCATCAGCTTCAACCGGCTACCCAAATCGGTAGGAGCGGACCCGTAGCCGATCTCCAACATGTCATACAGGGATTCTGTTTGGAAAGAGAAACACAGTTAAGCAAACCTTTTCAGAAATCAAATCAATTCTAACGCCCGAGTGTATTGCTTATAGAAAACATGTTGAAATCATAAACTATTGAAATTGCCTCATGTTGATTTTTTGAGAATTTTTGCGACCGTGTTGAATTCTTTTTTTTAATTTTTTTATCAGTTATTCATGTATATATATATATATATATATTCAATTTATATATCCATTAAGCTGTACACTTACTAATTTTATTCATCAGTTTATTATATCCTTTATGTATTCGTTCATTTTTTGTATCCATTTACTCGGTTCATCCATTCATTCAGAAATGCATGTTTGTATTCATTCATTTTCTTATTCACCTATTTATTTGTTTATTAGGTAATGAATGATCATATCTATTCTCCCTCTCTCTCTCTCTCTCTCTATTCACCACCATCATCATCATCATCATTTATCTCTCTCTCTCTCTATCTCTCCCTATCTCTTTCTGTTTCTCTTATATGTACCTGCCTCCCTGTCTTTGATTTTTTTTCTCTGATCCTCACAGTGTCAAACACATTCACTCTCTCTCTTTCTCTCTCTCTCTCTCTCTCTTTCTCTCTCTCTCTCTCTCTGTATCTCTCTCTCTCTCTCTCTCTGTATCTCTCTCTCTCTCTCTGACCCTAAATGAAGTCAATCATTCTAGCTATTTCTCATCTTCTTTAAATCACTTACCAGACTGTGAGGATACGCGGACGTTCACATTTGTCAGCATCGACGTGTGGACATGCCATTGACAATACACGTCGATCATGCTCGCGGACAGGTTTCCAATGTGAATGGTTCCCATCCCGTTTGATGTTGTCAGATCAAGTGTTCCTCCACAACCATAATCTATTTTTAGAAAGTAGAAATGAAATCAGTTTGAAAAATAAATACTTGCCACAACTTAAACATTTATAAACAATATACGAACTGTGTAATACACATCGTGGTCCCCATGTGATACTCTGGCTGCATAGATTAGAAGATCCCTTTGAAAATGGCTCGGCATATAACCATAGTTATGGAGCACTGTAAGGGGTTAATACATAGTGCAATTGTTCAAAGTACACACAATGTGATACAAACAGTATCCATTGCGTTATACTGTGGTCACTGTGTTGTTATAATGTGGCCCTAGTGTGACTGGATCAATGTAAGCTTAGCGGATATTTGGATCACTTTCATGGGTTTATAATGTGAACAAAGTATCTTTAAGCCCCACTGCACTACCTATAGCTACTTGTGCCCTCTATATAGCAAACAATGTCTAATCAGTGCCTGTTGGTCCCCCCCCCCCCCCATGATCCTCGCTTTCTTATGTTAATTGAGAGCTGATCTGAGGAGATAACCACCTGTCAGTGACCTTGCAGGGAGGTCTAATCACCCCTGGCCAAAATAGTGCAGACGGGCTTTAACAGTTTAAAATTACGTGATACACTGCATAGTGCACTCTACGGTCACTATGCAACACTGTAGCCACAGTGCAGTATATAATTATGTAGGCATATCAAGATTTCATCAAAAATGACGTTTGGATCAATCTCATATAGATCATTTGAACAATTCACTGTGTTCACAGTTTACAAATAGTTTGATGCAGTGTTGCATACACTGTGGTAACGTGGTAATACTGTGGTCACGGAAAGAATCAGTTCGTGAATCGATCAAGATGTTATTATATGGAATATCCATATACCCCCTCATGGGTTGAATAATATAAAGGCAATGTGTTAAGTAATCGATCGTCACTGTGGGCACTGTGTATACAAGACCAAGCTCTGTAATTATTAGGATCTCTGTCCAGTAGTGCCGTGTTTGTGCCATCGAACTGGATCGACCAAATCAATTGATTATATATATGTATAAATATGTATATATATATATATATATATATAATATTTTTTCCCGTAACATGAGAGTAATTTTAATAGTTTCATACTATTAATTAAATGTAATGTTAACTGTTTTTGTATAATTGTTTTAAATAGGGGCACGCTACAAGAGTCCTATCTCGCACCCCATGGCAACGTGTCTGACACGGCCGGTTGTAGCAACCACTCCTTAGATCAAGATACATTAATCTTGATCTAAGGAGACACGAACAAACGAACTGTGTATACTGTGGCGACAGAACGAATCACATTATAAATATATAAAACTGTTACCATATAGGGATATCTAGATAGGATACCGTGGTAATCATAGAGAATATGCATCAGTGTTAGAAAAGGGGTGATTTGAACGCTTTCACAATATTATGTGGCAAATTAAGCACATTATGTTCATCGATACTGTTTCAACATTGCACAACATTAGTATACCGTTGCGGCTCCAACTATACTTTAAAGGCATCCGGTAACTTTGTGTCGGATTCTGAAACAAAATCCTGGATTTAGCTCATGCTGCAATGATAATTATAAACCTTCAGATCAGTCAGGAACCCCGTGACCTTTACAATTAAGCCGATCGCCTGTTTGATTATCAAGATATTTATGATTGGAAATCGAAACCAAATTTTACGTTTGCCTAACGGTATTCATAACACTACAGTCTATTGAGGAAAACAAGTATGGCAAAACCGGCCACTGAAAGGTTTTTACTTTTTTGAGGCACTTCTTGATCATTTTGAAGCGCAATTTTCTTAGGGCTTCTATATTACACCATATCACAGACACTGATAACACGTAGGGCCGTGCATACCAGATTTAACATTGTAAAGTTAAACGATGCCTTTAAAAATAATTTAAGCAACATATTTGTCGTTGTTGAAAATCACCTTGGACGTGCTCTACGAGTACAGTGAGCGATCGACTGATGTTAGCTGACCCGGAAGTGAAAACCATGGTCACACCATGACCCTCTTGGAGGAAGATGACCTCGTCATTGACTGAGCCGGTGAGCTGACGGCGGTAGGCAGACGAGTCTGAGTGATCAAGACCAGTGAACACGTGAAGGGCGTCGATTCTGAGAATGAGAAAGGACAATGGATTGTTTTTATTGATAGTCATTTGAATGAGGATTTGAATAGAAAGATTTTTGGATTATAACATTTGTCGATAAAGATGAGTAGACAGTAAACATTAATACTATTTAACTCATAGACTGTAAGGTAATAATCAAAACCTGTATCGGTGTATTAAACATTTAGGTTGTTGTAATCTTCTGCTGTTATTTCTTCCAAAAGACATATAGTGCATTTGAACGGGTGAATCACTGTTAATTCGTTACATGAATACAAAGATCTAACTTCTTAGGAGTGTTTACGCGTTACTTAGCCTACGTTATAGATAACGATAGAGACTTTATTGCTTTATAAGCGACTGATTACAAGACATTTTTGTTCAGGATTGCTTGAATTTTCAGAATTTCATAATTACCCCTCTTCTGAAGTCATTTCGTCCACCAGGACTCGCATCCTGGAGGTCGTGTCACTGTTGGTTATCCTGTAGACGCAGTGCAGATCAGCTGTGTCGGCAGGCAGGTTGAAGGTAAGGGCTGAAGAACAAACAATTGATTGATTGATTGGTAGATAGATATATATTAATTAACTGATTGATTGACTGATTGATTTTTGTATTGCCTGAGAGATTGCTGAATTTATTGATTGGTCGGTAGATTGATGCATTGATTGATAGATTGATAGATTGATAGAATGGTTGATTGAAAGATTGATTGTTTGTTTAATTAAAAGATTGATTGAAAGTTTGGTTGATTGATTTATTTATTGCCTGAGAAATTTATTGGTCGATAGCTTGATGCATTGACTGATTGATTGATAAATTGACTGATAGATTGATTGAAAGATAGATTGATTGTTTGTTTGATTGAAAGATTGACTGATTTATTTATTTATTGCCTGAGAGATTGCTGAATATTATTAATTGGTCGGTAGATTGATGCATTGAATGATCGATTGATAGATTGACTGAAATATAGATAGACTGATAGAAACATTGATTCATTGATATATTAATTGATTAATTGATAGGTAGATTAACTGATAGAAAGATTGATTGATTGATAGATTGATTTGACTGATTGATTGTTTGTTAATTGAAAGTTTGACTGATTGATTGATTGATTTATTGCCTGAGAGATTGCTTAATTTATCAATTAGTCGGTAAATTGATGAATGATATTGATTGAATGATTGATAAATAATTGATTGATAGAGAGTTTGAATGCCTGGTTGTTTGATTGCCTGATTGATTGCCTGATTGATTGCCTGGTTGATTGATTGATTGTTTGATTGACATGTCGATTGTTTGATTGATTTATTGATTGAAAGATTATTTATTAAAAAACACATTACGGCTCATCAGCTGAATTACTTTGAATATGCATTACAACATGCACAGTTATGTAATAGAAGATTAAATACAATACAAATTTAAAATTGATGCATTCATTCATATTGTGCAAGCATATAATACCCGATTTGTGGCAAAATAAATATATATAGGTGCATTAGATAGAGAGATAGAGAGGGTGGAAGGAAAGGAAGGAAAGGAAGGAATAAAGAGAAAGAGAAAAGAGAGGGGAGAGAAAGTGAGAGCAAAAGAGAAGAATTGAAACTGAATTTAAAAATGAAGAAGTTAATATTGGCCCGTTTTCTACAAACTTTTAACCCGACTCTTAGTGATTTGTTCAAATTGAAGTATAACATTTCAGTGAATTCTAATTCTTCCTTTGTTAAACGTAACTTTAGCCTCAGAGTCAAGTTTTAACTGAATAAAAAAAATATGGAATTGTCTCTAGACTATTTTGACAGCCTGCTGTTTCTTTCTCTTCAGGTGCAGGACCCTGTTTCATAAAACTTGTTATCAATAACAAGTTACAAAGTCAGTTAAAAGCTACTGAAATCGTGGCATTTGATTGGCTGAGAGCAAATTTGTCATAGAAATTTAGCATTTGTTATAGATAAAAAGTTTTATGAAACGGGCCCCTGATATATAAAGTCAAAGGTCGATCGAACTTACGTAATTGGCATACATTCTAAAGTGTATAAACAGCAGATTGGTAAATGATAAATTTTGGTCAAAAGAACCAATAAATTTGTTTATTCTGGCCGAGATTAAAATTTGGTCGGGAAATTCTGTCTTCCAAACGACACGAACAGTTGGTTAAGATTGTATTATCTTTTGGTTTGTTCGGACGGTTTATCATGTGGAAGAACCATGCTAGTTCTCATCTAATCAAAAATCAAAGAGGATTAAAGCATTATCAAATAGTGCTTTGGAGCCTTAAGTTTAGGTCTAAACCTATATTGCGTATCCGGGTTCAACTATTGCTCCTATCACTAAACCCCCAAACCTCTATGTGTAAACGTTTAACGTTTACTAAAAATTAAAGCAAAATAATGTGTAATAAACTTCGTATATGCTTATCTGTGAAAAAGAGAAATGACATAAAAACATCAAGCACATTATGTCTCATTCATATAAATCAGAATTAAAACTACTTTGCGTAACGATATTGATTCCTAACTGTATTCGCACTTACGCTAATGCAAGCTTGCAGGCTATTTACCCGATCGGCCGATTCGTTTACTGGGTAAAATCCCACAGGTTGAAAAGATTTGTTCTGACTTGTTTTCAATTACAAGACTGTGCACGCAAGCTTTGTCTTCTTTGTGAAAGCCATAAACTTGTTGAATACAAATCGAACAGGAAGCCAAACATTCATTGGGTTTAATTATTTTCTCAAACATTAGTTTTCTTACCGGATTCGACTAGTGTAAAGTTGCCTCCACATGTTGAAGAAAGCGGCTTTTCCTCCATTGCTGCAACTGAAATTAAACAACACGAATATTCATTTCTTAAAAATTATTAAATTTTATTCCTGAAGCATGCTAAGTGTTTGGGTATCTTTGTCTCAGATTCTAAACAAAATCCTGGATTTAGCTCATGCTGCAATCATAATTATAAACCTTTAGGTCAGTCAGGAATCCCATGACTTTTATAAACCGATCGCCTGTCTGATTATCAAGATATTTATAATTGGAATTCTAAATTTCAAAAACCATTTTCCCAACGGTTTTCATAACTCTACAGTCTACTGGAGAAAATGAGTATGGTAAAACCGGTCACTCAAAGATTATTACTTTTTTGAGGCACTTCATGCTCACTTTAAACCCCTTTTATTTAGGGTTTCAACATTACACCATATCACAGACACTGATAACACGTAGGGCCATACATCTCAGATTTGTAATGCAGGAAACAGTTTTAAACAATGCCCTTAAACATAATTTATTAAATACTATGTAAATGTTACGTTCACACAACACTATGAAACTTCACCTTGATTTTCAGTATCGTATGCATTACTTGTAGACACTATTCTTGTGTAAAATTTATTTGCGTCCTTCTTCTTGTGTTTCTTTTTCTACTTATTTTGTTCTTCCTCCACTTTTTTGTTCTTCTACCTTTTTCTTTTTTCCTCTTCCTCTAACTTCTTCCTTCTCATTCTCCTCATATGCGTTGTTGTTGCTATACATCCTCCTTCCTCTTTTTCTCCTACTTTTTCCTTCTTTCCCTTCTTTCCCTTCTTCTTCTTTTCCTCCTTCTTCTTCTCTTCTTCTTTTCCTTTCTTCATCTTCTTTCTTCTATTTCTTCTGTTTATTAATGACTCACCGCTGTTCGGTTCAACAATGATGTGGAATCCGGAGGCCCGCCCTGAAAAATCCGTCCGGAACTCTACAATGACGTAATCACTCTCCGCTACCGTGATTTGTCCAATGTTCGCGGAGGGCGTTCCCATTTGCATAAGCAGCTCCGTGGGGTCACGAGTCAGGGAGTATGAGGTGACTTTCATCCAATCACGTACCTCGAGTTCTACGTCGACCATGGTGAAGGTCATGAGATCGGATGACGTAATGTTCCAAATATAGTGAGTGGTGTCATCATAGTTCATGGGGTAGTCGTTGCTGTACAGGTGAAGTGCCTTGCCTGGTTTCATCGATACTTGGTGGAATGTTTCTTTTACTGGCACATCATCTAAAAGTAGAAACATAAATAATACAATCGTGATAGTGCACACAAGCATTATAATGCATTATTTGTTTCGGATTTGGAAGTATTTTGTAGAAACTAGGCCTACACTTCGTAGCAAGTTATTAGGTTTATTTCAAAAGGTCGGTAAGTGAATACAATGTACATACATGTTGGTCAGTACTCATTTGTTATATTGAAATAGAATTGAGAGAGAGAGGGAGAGAGAGAGAGAGAAATACAGTGAGCAGTAATGTATAAATGATTCTATACAAATGGGGAAGGGGTGCAAAATTGTTTTAAATGCTTATAATTGATTTGTAATGTTTTGATGGAAACATGAATAAATTTGAAATTGAATTTAAATTTGAGGAATGAGAGAGAGAGAGAAAGAGAGAGATAGACAACAACAAAAAAGAGAGAGAGAGAGAGAGAGAAAGGGAGAGAAAAAGAGAATCCATGAGAAGGTAAGAGAAGAGAAAGAGAGAGATAGACAACAACAAAAAAAGAGAGAGAGAGAGAGAGAGAGAAAGGGAGAGAAAAAGAGAATCCATGAGAAGGTAAGAGAAGAGAAAGAGGGAAAGATAGAGAGAGATGGGGGGGGGTCGACTCGAAAATAAGAGAGAGAGAGAGCAAGGGGGAGGAGATAAGAAGATAGAGAGGACGGATATAAGGAGAGAGAAAGAGATAAAGAGAGAGAGAGAATAAGAGAGAATAATAACGAGAAAGAGAGAGAAGAGTGCATGTGTGTTTGTGTGTTCGTGAGAGAGAGAGAGAGAGAGAGGTAAAAGGTGGAGAGAGGAGAGAGAGAGAGAAGAGAAGCAGAGAGAAATAAGGAAGACAGAAGGAGACAAAACAAGAAACAAGGAGGGAGAGAAAATGGGGTTAAGAAAAGAAACAGAAATGAATTGATGCAGAACATGAAATAAAAATCGAAACGATAACTAGTGCTTACTTCTTGGGTATTCAGCAAAGGTCATTTGAAACCCGGTCCCGTTGGTATTGACGCCATCAGATATAAAGGTCACGTGCAGTACTTTACTTAGAAACTCCTTAGGAACCACACTGCCAGTTACCCACTAGAGAGAGAGAGAGAGAGAGAGACAGAGAGAGACAGAGAGAGAGTGAGCGAGAGAGAGAGACAGATATAAAGAGAGAGAGACAGAGAGAGAGACAGAGAGAGAGAGAGAGATGTAGTATAGGGAGAGAGACAAGATTCAAGATTCAAGATTCAAGATTTTATTGTCCATAATATAATACAGAAATTTGTTTTCCATTGGTGTAACATGTAATACATAAAACATAAGACAAAAACATGGTGTCGTGTGCTGAAAACCAGAAGGGCGTCAAGACTCTATAAGAAAAAGTCTATGAGCAGGTACGGTCCTCCGGCTTTCAGCACAAAACATGACAAGACAGTTATATGACTTAAACATAGCAAGAATTTTAAATACAAATCTGAATCACATCATGACAGAGAGAGAGAGAGAGAGAGATGGAGTATAGGGAGAGAGAGAGAGACAGCGAGATTTGATTTGTTTTGGTTTTAATATTTCTGCATTTTTCCAAATACAATCATTAAATAACAAAGAACATGATCGTAACCGTAAGGTTTAAAACAAATAACTATGCAAACAATGATAACTTCACGTAAAGATGTGATTTACATATATACATAATGATAACGAAATTTATTTTTCTATAATATAGAATTATGAATTTAAAGTATGATCCAAACTATCTGTGAAAAAGTGCAGGAGACCACAGTCATAAACGACGCTTGACTAGGTTGGTGGCCTCAAAAGAAAAGAGAGAGAGAGAGGGGCGTGTGGAGAGAGAACAAGAGAGAGAAGAAGAGGAAGTAAAAGAGAAAGTAAAGTAAGATATCCACAGTAAAACAACACTTGTTTCATTAAAAGAATAGATAGTAAGCACTCATAGGCTCATCTATTATCTTTTCTGAAGCCTGCATAAGTGCATCAATGTCTTTTATACACCTCACTTTAGATATCCAGTCATCTGAATGGTAGAAATGGGAGTCGTGATTTGACCCATTTCCGTAAAGAAACGTAAAATGCCAATAACGGTTAATAGTCCAGGAATGAGATCCCTCAAAATTCCGGTTACCATGAAAATAGTAAAATTTTGCTGCGATACCCATTGTTTTACATGTTCAAATTGTCTTTGTGCGAGCGCGGACACAATATGTACAGTGCTTTTGTCTGCGATTCCCAAATGATTGAAAATTTCAGTCATTTTTCAAATTAAGATTAACAGACAGTGTCTCAGATTTTCCGTGATGTTTTAACCAATCTTTACTCAATAGAAGGATAAGGTAAGAATTTTTGGTAGATTTTTGTTTCAATGCGGCATATAAAAGACATATTGACAACTTTAGCATCCTCAACCCTTTTTGAAAAATGTTCAGCGGGGCCTGCATGTAAGAGTGGTGGTGATGCAGATTTGTTTCCTGCTGATCGATCCTTCATGCTGCCCCCCCCCCCCACCCCTATTGAAAAATCCTGGATATATACGCCTGTGGCACTGAGCCGGCCATCGTGCCTCCTATGTCGTCAACAAATAGGTAGCTAATTTTAGAGACTTACCGAAATAGCTCCATACTGGTCCTCGACCATAACCATATCGCCATCGTCCCTGAAGTCGACACTTTGAAACTGTAATACAATGGGAGCATCGCTGCCACCTATGAGGGTCATGTTACACCGAAGGTTGTTTGCATAAGGGCTGGGGAATCCCGGAGACTCCAGTGTGCCAGGGTACGTTATAGTTGTCCCGCAGATGTCGGCAGCTACACAGGAATTTAAAGGAAATTCGTATTTCGAATCAAATAAGGATATAGAACGAAAAAATAGTGTGTGCGTATGTGCGTGCGTGTTTGTGCGCGGGGGGTGTGTATGTGTGTGCGTGTGCATGTGTAATTACAAACCACGGAGATACTGCGTGATGGAGTGTGTTAGAGTATACATATAATACACAGCAGTGGAGGGCATTAGTAAGAATTGCCCACACAAGGTACCGAGTGTGGGTAATTCTACTAATGCCCGAATAAAATGATGTGTATTATTTGTTTTATAAAATGATGTTTATAACATGATTTTACTGATGACGGGTCATTAGCACTTACTAATTGTTTAGGATCCGTTTCATCATCTTATAATTGGCAGATAATTAACAGAGATGTGTGGAAAAATGTTGCAATCCCTCCTTGCTGGGAAAAGATACTAGTTTAGAAAGATCTGTGTCTTTGTATCGATATCCTTAGGATAATGATTACTCTTTAACATACTACACTGTGAAAAGGTTGGGCAATATTTTCCAATACTTTGCCTAACGTTGTGTCAATAGTCAACCCAACCGTCTATTGAGCAATATTTTGCCCACTGAAATTGGTAAGCGTAAGTACTCTACTTCACACGATAATTGTTTTGTATTTTGCCCAACAGCAGGGCAAGATTTTCCCAACAAGTCGGCTACCGTATAGTCAGGCAGTTGAAGCATCATATCTTTGCCCAAATTTTGGTCAAAATACGAAACAATTATGCACGTGTGAAGTAGGGTACTGTCGTCTACCAATACCACTGGGCAAATTATTGCCCAATAGATGGTTGGGTTGACTATTGTCACAACGTTAGGCAAAGTGTTGTACAAATATTGCCCAACCTTTTCACAGTGTAGAGCATTATTTACGAAAGAGACAGCCGATAGAAGTCCAGTATTTATTAGTTATCCTCGACCCTGTTGCACACAAATTAGCATTGAATGAAACTTTGCCATTAATAGTAACTTCCATGGAAACGTTGATTTGATTGGCTGTTCACGGTGATATGTTGCCATGGTAGTTAATATCGATGGCAAAGTTCCCATCAGTGGTAAGTTTTAAGTTCTATTAATTTCCTTTAGATACATGAAAGATCATGATTTAAAGATACTATGTCCCTTTTGCAGCCAACATCAAATTCTGTAGAACTTTGCAGGAATTGTGAATATGTCATGTATGTCCTATCTTTGAAATTTAAACGTTAGCAGTGTCCTAATATTCAAATTATGCAAGGAAACCTGTTTACTTGCTAGACTTCACCTTCAGACACTATTGAGTGACTGACTGGCTTTTCTTTTTCTTTGGTAATAACATACATAAGATGAGCTGTAAAGAGTACATGAGCATTTGTCTACATCAATAACCTACTTCTTGTAATGGCCATAATTAAACTGATTGAATCTTTGCGAGGCATAAAACGTACGACCATTCGGTACAATGTCTGAAAATCAGACTATTACCTTTTGGCTCTATAGCTCCTAAGTCGATTTGACAACTAATAGTGGTTATTTTCCCACTTAAATACATTTTCAAGCCCCCCATTTTTTAGGGAAGTTCTAAATTATTATTATCTTTCAAATGCCGTTGGAATTTAACCTTGTCATTTTTTTGGTCTGCAAATGGGACATAGTACCTTTAACATACTAAAGCAACCTTTCAGCAGAAGTAAAGGTATTTTATCAGATAGCTTTGTCTTTATGTAAATATCCTTCTAATGATGTGATTACTGCATGGTCGTTATCAATGAAAGACTAACTGGGGGTCTGAAAATAAACAATGGGTAATAAAACCGATCTAGTCCTCATTCCTAACGAGCATAATTAATTAAGTCACATCATAGGTCGAGGTCCAGGAACGGTGCACTAACAATTTGAGAACTATTTCGTTCGTTTTATGTTAATGTGGAAGGAAAAGTATTTCTTGATCTTCAAAGGCCATTATAATTATTTGAAATATGACAAGTTTTTTTATTTTTTTATAATTATTATTTGGGTACTCAAGGATAACATAAAAGCCAACTGGCTATTTACAAGCATGTACAGGAATGTGAAATGACGAAAACATCATGAAGGGGGGGGGGGGGGGGGGGGGGTAAGAGGACACTTTTTTCTTTTTTTGGGGTCTCGAAATTTTGCTCTGTTGGGGGGAGTAAGGTCACTTTTTTTAGGTCAGCCATGAGAATATTTTCTTTTTTTTAATTTTAATTTTTTAATAATTAAAAAAAAAAAAAAAAAAAAAAAAATCTAAAGAGGGGGGGGGGGGGCAAGGGGGGTTAGGGGGGTTTATACACATAAAAATATCAAAGGGGGGGGGTTAACCCTACTGAAATCCCTGCTTCTGATTGGCTATCAGTAGATTTGTCACTGTTTCCTTTCCTTTGTCATTAAAAAAAGGCTTTGTGAAACGCTTCATTGAACTCAGAACTCAGCTTTATCTTTAAACTTTTAGCTTTACTATTATCTAGTTTCGAGATCGTAGATCATAAACAAGTTTAAAGAGAAGGTTGAGTTCTGGGAAGAGGTGAAAAATGATTTGTGAGCATTATCATTGTTATTATGCAAGTGTGGAAGAACATCATGTTAAAATGTTCCTTGAAAATCATGGCTCTTCAAATGCCTTAATATTCTAAATATATCATGTAACAGCATAACAATCGGGACGGATTTTTACGCCACATGTTCGTGTAGTCCCATATACATCTTTCTGTGTACAGTGCTTGTAACTTTAGAAAGACTTGGCCTAACTTCTTTTCATTTTTATGATTTCAGAACCTTGCAGTACACACCAATACTTGTATGCTAGATAATCAACCTTTTCTAATATATTCTACACTGTTTCTTTCAGAATACAACCGCATGACCAGAACTCAACTTCATCTTTAATAGGGGTTAGCTCGAGCTACGCACTATACATTATTAATTGCGTAACAAATATGCGACCCTCAGATTCTTTGCAATTAAGCATTATTATTGATAAAATTAAAGAAACAATTGAAGGGGACGGTGTATCGTATATCAAAACGCAATATCAATCAAGTTCAATAAAGTCTTTTCCCCTTCTTTATAATCAAAATCTTAATTAAGAAGAAAGAGTCATTTTGATAGGTCATGAAATAGAGAAAAGGGAAATTAATCTTGTCAATGGTAATATTAAACTTTGCTCAGTTCATTGTCTATAGAAACTATATTAGAGAATGTTTTGGAAGTGAAAAGCACATGATATATGCTGTATATTTGATAAAAGAATTAAAGGTAGAAATTCGCACCTTTCTCGATATGAAATGCAATCAAACGAAATTTGATACAACTAATTAATAAAATATTTCACTATTCTAATTAGTGATTATGTCACATTAGTTTCATGTTTTGTACTATAATATATTATATGATGTTACAATTGCATGAATTCTGTGTATAAACATTACTGTAAATAGCCGTTATTTAATGATATGAACAAGTAAAGTCCCTCGAAAGAGGATAAATAGAAGGGAAAAAAATAATCAAAATAAACACATCATGAAAGTAAGGAGGCTAAGCTCCCTAGCTAAGAGCACGCGGCTTTAGATGGGGTCGCCGCAACAAAACAGAAATACTTATTAATTCCAGAATCAACATAAACAATAGCTATAACAAAAAGTATAATGTATGTTGGATATAGAGAGAAAGAGAGTGTGAGAATCGAGGCGGGTCCAACTAAATTAAAAGGGGGTAAAACATATATAGTCGCTACAAATTATTTTGTAGTAACGTTATTTCTTTTGTCAAGCATGAAGGCCATCACATGTTGTACATAGACTGAATGAAAACGCCAATCAAAACGCCACTCGAAAATCTTAATTTCAGAGTTCTAAATCTTAAAAAAACATCAACAAAAGTAAGATACATCAAATAAAATGTATGGAACAAACTATATTTGAGTTTCACAATGGTTAGTTAACAAGGGAAACTTAAAGGTTATCAAAGTTGAGTAAAACAATGAAAATTAAAATTTATAACGAGTCAATAATTATGGATATATACAAAAGTGGTGGAATCAAAACAAGAAAATCAAAAAGTTAAAAGACAGATCGTTGCGCTTAAAGACCGTCAATACTACTGGGCCAGAAGGGATTAGACCACACAGCGAGGTCACTGACAGGTGGCTATCTCATTAACCCAGCTATCAACTAACATAAGAAAAAGAGGATCATGGGGGACCAACAGGCACCGATTGGGGAAGTTTTCTATATAGATGGAGCAAGTAACTACAAGTAGGACAGTGGGGCTTTAAAACATCTGACAAGACATTTGTCAAATACATAGTTAATATATAATATACCTATCTATCTGACATATTTATATAAGCCTACATGAAGCTGTACATTTTGCAGTTTCGTAACGCAATACCTATATATTCGATATATCATCTTGTGTATATCCGACAGTAATGAAATATGAACATAGCTAGAATGATATATCAAACTAAAAAAGCATAATATCAAATTTTCAAATTGAAATCAAGAATGTAACTTACCATGTGCAATGCATGCCGCCAATAATAACACAGGGATCGTTTGTTGTAATTTCCCCATTATCTCGCAGCAGATGGTGTATTTGTGTAAAAGAACCCGTCGAAGGGCGGACAAATTTTCTCTCCTTTTAGAGTGAAAATAGGAACCCGTCAAATAGAAAACTTCTTCTTTTTTTCAGGAGAGAAATGCATGCAGGGACTTCGCACCGAAACGTTTAACCTTCCCTGTGTTTAATCGCGAACTTTTCGGAGCGTTGATTCATTTTACGCAAGCCACTACGTAATGGTTCAAAGATAAAGTTGATAATTTGTCACGTGGTTTGACCGTGGTATATAATAAGGGAGTTTACAGATAGCACATGGTACAAATGACCCCAAATATCCACAGATCTTTTACACATGGAGAAGTTCCACTTTGAGCATATTAGAATATTAACTGCCAAAGTACTTCCTAGATGTGCTTCATGAATACCTTTTGTTTGCCCTCTTGAAAAGAATACTTCCACCTGCGTATCATAGAATGTACCGTTGGTGCATAAATTAATAATGTTACATAACTTTCATGAGCGCATATCCAGTATTCATCTCTGTGGCTTTTACCTTTTTGGTACAAATGATCTTTATCTGCCCATGCGCAGATTGTATCTGTAAACTCCCTTATTGGCATGGGCACTGGAGACTCTCGTATGGGATGTCCCCGGTTCGATTCTTGTTTTGGTGCTTTCCTCTTTTGACAATTAGGTGTTTGTGTCACTCACTTTTGCCCCTCTCCACCTATGGGTGTATACAAAGGGTACCTAGCTATACTGGGGTAATAATAAATGCCCCCAGTGTAATTGCTCAAGTATTAATGCTACTGAGGCTTCCTGGTAAGATCAAACATGTAACTACTATCATTCTAAAAAACAGTCTGGAAGTTATGAAAAAAGTTGATATATGAATACGGGGATTATGTAGTATGAGAATTAATGCATACTTTAATGTTTTGACATTCTAACAAGTAATGTACATAGAAAAATAAATATGGGACTATATAAATTTGGCATGAAAGTTTGGTCCAAACTTTTGAACTATTTCTCATATTTGGAATACGAAGGTATTTGAAGAGCAATCCTATTGCAGGAGATATATCTTTTTTCATATTATTGTGAACAAAGAATAAGAAAGCTCACACAATTATTCTTCACCTCCGCTAAAGCTCAACCGTCTCTTTAAAGTTTTTGAATAACCACAAAATGGAGTTTAATTTAAATGTATAATCTTATCTTCTGTGTAAACTGCTTTCAGACGGTGATTTAAACAAAGCAGTGGCCATTTCATATTGGATTCTTAATCCTGTTCTACGGTATTACGACTGGCGAATCGAGGGTTCCTGGGGGGGGGGGGAGGAGGAGAGCCAGCGCACAAGTGCGAAAATTCGTTAACAAGAAACACAAAAAAGGGGGATCATCAGCCATATTCTTCCTCCTCCCCTCTTTTTGAGGGTGGGTTGGGGAGGGGGTGCCTGTGTCCCCTGAATCCGCGACTGAATCGTATCACAATTTTTACAATCTGTAGGATAGGGAACACATTATGATTACTCACATGTTAGGGTGTAATGATTCTTTAACATAAGTGGAATCATGATGCAGGGCATAGCGTGTGTAACCTGCAAAATGAGTTGCACAATGGAAAATGTAGTGGACCATCAATAATTGCCCCCCCCCCCCCCGCCTTCAACGTCCCTGGATCATCTTGTGTTGTTGCTCTTTCCCAATGAAGAAATTAACTTTACTAGTGACAGAGAGAAATGGTTGTGTCAGCAAAGGATATCATAATATCCTCTCTTTTTTTAAAAGGTTCTCAAACTGATAGCAATGTATACTAAAAGCAAACTCACTTATCACGTTATAGATAAAGGTTAAGAACTTACTAAAACAATACTATGTTATCATAATTGTAGACTCCGAATAGAATTAGAACATTATAGCTCAATATAACTTTACAAAAAAACATTGTGGCTTTATCGAGGGGTCTGAACGGACTAGCTATTTTGAGTACACAGTCCTGATTGTCGTAATTTGAAGATTACGATTATATTTGCAAAGTGCGAAGACAATTAATGGTGATGGTTCCGTAATTGTATTGACTGAGATAAAATTCCTCGCTAAATCAAACACAGTTAACGCCCTAAATTACATAAAACGGTGAAAAGCAGGATCCAGTATATAAGCATCTAGCATTATTTGATTTAAAGCCCACTGTCCTATTTGAAGCTACTTGCGCTCCCTCTATATAGAAAACTTCCCCAATCGGTGCTTTAAAGGAATCCGGTAACTTTGTCTCCGATTCTGAAACAAAATCCCGGATTTATCTCATGCTGCAATGATAATTAAAAACCTTTAGGTCAATCAGGAACCCCATGACTTTTACAAGCCGATCGCCTGTCTGATTATCAAGATATTTATGATTGGAAATCGCAAAACCAAATTTTGCGTTTTTCCTTACGGTTTTCATAACACTACGGTCTACTGGGGAAAACGAGTATGGTAAAACCGGCCATTCGAAGATTCTTATTTTTTGAGGCACTTCTTGATCATTTTGAAGCGCGATTTGTGTAGGGTTTCAGTATTACCCCATATTCACAGACATTGATAACACCTAGGGCCGTGCATCTCAGATGTAACATTGTTAAACGATGCCTTTAATACACTATCTAGATATAGACACGATGGTGGCATAAAAGTTTCTGCAGTCGATTTTTCCCTATTCTTGGATCATTGATGACTATTTTGTTTAAACATGAAAAATGTCCCATATTTGTATTCTGTTACTCAAGATATGATTTGCAAAGACAGCTTTTAGTCTTAAAGATACGTATGATCGTGATTTATATGAATGCGGTATTTCACCAAGGAAGATTCGAAAATCGCCTAGTGCACCAATTCAATCACGTTCTGCACATATTTTTTAAACAACTCTTTTCCCAAAAATATATCTATACTCTGGTTTTTCCTTGGTACGCATATTCCTTGTCTTTCTCTTGCCCAGCAATCATAAATCTCCGATATTCTAAGCTGTTTGTATTTCAATCCTAGCTACCTTCTTATAATCATGTGCGTCTTTCCCTGCTTAAAAAAAAAGTCAATAAAACTCTTTAATATGATAAAGGACTAGTTTAATGTACAATGAATACCAAGTCCAACACAGAAAGTATTTTTGGCTTTGCAATACAGCACCTTTTAAATCCCCACTGTACTACTTATAGCTACTTGCGCCCTCTATATAGCAAACAATGCCTAATCAGTGACCATGATCCTCTTTATCTTATGTTAACTGAGAGCTAGCCTATAATCTAGGCGGAGTGCCGAGCTTTTTTCTTTGCTGCTAGACTAACCCTAAGCAGAACGTCTGATATGGCGAGACTACGAACCGTGAGTCGCGAAGCGGCTCACCGCCTATAATCACTGGTCTAGCTAATCAATATTCATATATATTCAAAATGGCGGATCTATGAATCATTCAACAGCCCTACCAAATAAGGTACACCTATGTTACGTTCGACCAATCAGATATAAGAAACCGCAACGAAAAAAGATTGCGCTCGTCCATTACTAAATAGGGGTAATAAAAAGGAAGAAGGGGAGATGAAACCATAAAAATCTTTAAAATGATCATTTTACTACTGTGAAATATCAAAAAATTAAAAAATTGTAGTTTTATGTGAATAAATGTTTTGGTAGTGCCAGTAGTGCCACTAGTGGTACCGGTAGTTTTTACGGCGGTACTTTCGTTCTGCCAACGGCAACGACTCGAGTCATCATGATCATAGAATTCGTGGTCGCGTAGAAAATCACAGCACAAGGGGATTGCTTGGTATATTGCACTCTTTCCAAAACCAGTAGGTAATGCAACAAAAATATCCCTGCCGGCTTCAATAACGCTACGAATAGCGGATTCCTGCAGTTCTCTGAATTTTCCATTAGGAATGCCTAGTTTGTTGGCCGCATATGATAAACTTTCTCGCAGAAGATCGTCGTCGCATGAACTACCCGCCATCTTGGATGAAGAAAACGACGTAATGTCACGTGATTTATAATATGCATATGCATAGACTCTTCTCCATACGTGTCCCAAGACGAAAATCCAATTGAAACCAATTGAACACCAATTGAAATTTCAATTGGTTTCAATTGGTTTCAATTGGTCTCAATAGGTCTCAATAGGTTTTAACAGGTTTCAATGGGACCTCAGATGTTTTCAATTGGTCCAGATTGGCCCCATTGGACAAAATTGGCCCCATTGGACAAATTGGCCCCATTGGCCCCATTGGCCTAGGCCCCATTAGACTTTAATGGGTCCCCAATTGGTTTCAATTGGTCCGGATTGGCCCCATTGGACAAATTGGACCCATTGGCCTAAGCCCCATTAGACTTTAATGGGTCCCCAATTGGTTTCAATTGGACCAATTGGCCTTAATTTGGACTTCAATTGGTCCCATTGAAACCAATTGGCCAATTGAAACCAACAAATCTAGGCATCTCATGAATATTCATTATCACTTTATACGTGTCACAGAAAAATAAATTTATCATGATTTGTTAAGCAAATTATGACAATGCACATCAATTTTGTGATTTCTTTATTCCTTCAGCAATTATTAACCAATAGATTATTTTGTCTGATCATGTTACAATTACATTCACGTTTTAGCAATAGATATATTGATTTATATATTGATTATATGATTACTAACCAAAAAACAATATACATATTTAGTATATATATTTGTACGAGCCCATGTCAATGTAAATGAAACTCTTGAATTCACTTCAAATGACCTTTGTGATGAAGTTAATGCAAATGAGATTGGAATATACCTAATTGGTGGACAGTTGCCAATATCGATAATTTATCACTGGTTCTTCTAACTGGATCGATTTACCAATTGAATCCCCATGGAATGTCCCCATTGAATCCCAATTCAATACCAATTGGCAATTTGGAGTAAATGGAAAGTGAAACAATGGGTACCCATTGAAACCAATTGGCGATTGGTCCCCATTGGAACCAATTGGCAATTGGTCCCCAATTTGGAGTAAATGGAAAGTGAAACAATGGGTACCCATTGAAACCAATTGGCAATTGGTCCCCATTGGAACCAATTGGCAAATGGTCCCCATTGGTTTCAATGGGTACCCATTGTTTCACTTTCCATTTACTCCAAATTGAATTCAATGGGGAC